CTCACTCACCAACTTTGTGTGGCAGCCCCAGGGCCCGTGTCTGGATAAGCTCATGCTGAGGGACCTGTTGTCCCCACCTGTAAGCCTATCAAGGTATCCCCCAAATCCCTAAGGCCCAGGGTGTGCCGGCCGCCCTTGTGCTCACAGCCTTCCGCTCTGTCAGCCCTAGAGTGCCCTGGGCTCCCCACACTACCCCCAGCCAGAAGCACTCCAAATGCACCCCTGCACAAGGTGGGACCTGCTTCTCGGGTAGAAATGGGATCGGTTTGGGGTCTCCTCCCGCCACGACGCTCACCCATGGCTGTCCAGGCCAGCCCCATGACCACTCCGGGCGGCGTCACGTCATACATGCGTTCCACGGTGAACATGGGCTTCCCCACAAAGTCCTGCAGGTTCTCAGGCGTCACCTCCACGGACTCAGCCTCGCCGCTGACAATCTTGTAGGCCGACTTCCGTAACACCTGGGTGGGCAAGGCAGCACGATGGGCTCGGGCAGGTGCGCTGGGCGGGCAGGTGCCAGGAGGCAGGGTGGCCGCTCACCTTCTCCACCTGCTTCTGCAGGTTGCGGACGCCGCTCTCGCGGCAGTACTGCTTGATGAGCAGCGTCAGCACGTCCGACGACAGCTTGGCCTTGCTCTCGTCCAGGCCACATAGGGTGCGGGCCTGGGGCACCAGGTAACGCTGCAGGGGCAGCTGGCCGTCACAGCTGGGTCTGGAAGGACCTCGACCGCCAGCCCCTTCTAGAACCCGGGGACCCTCGACAGGAGCCAATGCCTCTTGCATGGGCCCCAGACCCTGGCGTGGCACAGGTCCCTGATGGTGAAACCAGGACCTGGGACACCTGGCTCTGCCACCAGAGGCGCTAGGCCTTTGTGCTGTGTCCTCTGCTTGGATCCACGTCCTATCCCCCAATGGCATCTTAGATGCCACTTCTGTCAGGAAGGCCTCCTGGTTGCCCCTGGGCTGGCCCCATACATAGACCCAGGGCCTGTACGGTAGCTGACTGATTAGGTGGCAGCTGCCCTCAGCACATGAGGAAGGGGACTGGGGGGGTGGGGGGCTCCAAGGTCAGCTGCAGACCCACAGCATTCTTGCCACAGTTCTGAGCTCTGGCAGCAGGGGGAGCGTCTGTGAGACAAGGACAGAGCCCTGCATACCACTCTACAGCTGCCCCTGATGCTGGGGGGCACTCCTGGTGCTCTGAGGGGTCCCCATGCATGCCCCTCCCCTCTTGTCTCCACAAACTACAGGCCTGCCCCTTAGGAAGTCAGGCTGGGATCTGGGCCCAGCAGGGAGCCCGGAAGCCCCCAGGGGACACGGAAAGCTGGGAAGGCCCTGAGGGCCGGGACCAGTGCCCAGCACAGGTTGTCAAAGGGCTCCTGGGGAAAAATGCATTCTCCCCCTTCCCAGAAAGAAAACATCAGAAATACAGGAGCCCTCCACCCCACAGGAATGGACCTCACACGCTCCTCAGTGAAACCCCTCCTCCTCCAAGTCTCGTTCTGTGTGGGAACCTCAGGTCACACTGCTTCCAGGCTGCCAGAAACCTTCCCTACAGTCTGGGCCTGAGGTGGGGCAGGGTCCTCCCTGGACTGAACACAGACTTGGCTTCTAAGAAGCACAGGGAGACCAAGTGTGTACGCGCTGAGAGCTGACAGCCGTGTGGCCTGACGGTGATGAGCCACCAATCCCCAGACAGCGTGTGGGACGGTCCTGGGCTCTAAAGCTGGAGGCAGCCCTCCCAGCCCAGCAGACGTTCCCAGGTGTCCGCCTCGGCCTCATCTACTTCTCTTGGCCGCAGGTCCTGCCGGTCTCTACCGGGCACGGGAGCTCCTAGAGGCACAGGCTCTGGGGGTCAGCCCCTGCTCCAGGGATGGGGACAGCAGTGGGGAGGGGCTGGCCTACCTCTGCGATGGCCAGCTTCTCCTGGGCCACGTAGCCGGATACGTTGATCATCTCCATGCGGTCCCGCAGTGGCTCAGGGATGGTGTCCGTGACATTGGCCGTGCAGATGAATAGCACCTGGGGGCAGCAGCAAGGTCCTAGGGGACTGGACTGTCACCCTCCCCCCAGCCCAGGCCCCAGGCCGGGCCCCCACCTTGGACAAGTCCACAGGCACGTCCAGGTAGTGGTCCAGGAAGTTGGCGTTCTGCTCTGGGTCCAGCAGCTCCAGCAGCGCTGATGAAGGGTCCCCCTGGTAGCCCCGGCCGATCTTGTCCACCTGGGGTGGCAGATGACAGGTGGTGCTGGCCACACTGTGCCCCTCACCAGCCCGCCCAGTGTGGAGACCCCAGGGTCAGGGCTGGGGATACCCGGAGTCAGAGCAGCACCCACACCCTGGGCCTTGGACGGGTAGCTTGCTGGGCATGGCTGTGGGCGGGAGGTACCCAGCCGTGCCATCAGGGCCAGCATCATGGTGACGGCCCGAGGTGACTTGGGGATCCTGGGACCCGGAGGACTCCGGGCTTCATCTTGTACCCAGCTTTGCCTGGTCAGGGCCGCTGCAGGCTCTGGGTTAGGAAGGCTCAGGGCACCAGGCGGGGCCCAGGGAGAGCGACAGGGCGCCCGCTCCACACGCACCTCGTCGATGAGGATCAGGGGGTTCTCCGTCTTGGTCTTCTTCAGACACTGGATGATTTTCCCGGGCATAGCGCCCACGTAGGTCCGCCTGTGGGTGCACAGCAGGGTCAGTCGCTCAGTAGCCCCGCTCGGCCATGACAACATGCACCCTCCAGGGCAATGGGGGAAGGCCACCTGGACAGCCACAAGATGTAGCCACTGGGGTGCTGGGAATGCAGCTGCCAGGTGTGTGGCACTCACGGGCACACTGGTCACTCACCAGACTTGCCCTGTGCTCAGAACTATTCTGGGGGCACCAATTCACAGCCAGCTCTCAGTGCCATCCCTCAACTGGCACCTCCTACCCATAGTGAAAGCCAGCCTGAGGCCTCGGGCAGAAGGCCCCCCCCCACCCACTGAGGAATGGCAGGTGCGCCCGGGCTACGGCCAGCACTGGCTCTCAGGAGGGCTTCCTGCAAGCTGGAAGGTGGGTGGCAGGTGGGTGGGGACGGCAGTCAGGGCAGGGCCTACCTGTGCCCCTTGATCTCAGCCACGTCCGTCATGCCCCCGACGCTGAAGCGGAAGTACTCTCGGTTCAGGGCTCGGGCGATGGAGCGGGCAATGCTGGTCTTGCCGACGCCAGGGGGCCCGTAGAAGCAGAGGATCTTGCCCTGGGTGGAGCCTCGGAGCTGGCTGACGGCGATGAACTCCTGTGGGCAGAGACGGGCTCAGTGGGCATGTGGGCAGGGCAGCCCGGGGCCCAGGCATGACCCTCGCCACGTGCATTCTGCCTTTCAGACATCTGAGGGCTGAGAAGGGACCAGGATTGTCCAGGAGGCTGAGCAGATCAGAGCTACCATTGGCCACGGGGAGGGGCAGCCTGTGACAACGGCTCCAACAGGACACCTAGGTGTCAGGAGTGTGTGGCCGCCCGGCAGGGCCAGGCCTGTTCAGCTCCCCACCTCCTAACGGGTTCCTTTCCCCAGGACCCTGAAACCACAAGTGCTCCCCACTCTCCACTCCAACCCCGGGAGACAGGGCACCCCCTCCCCTCCGCCCCGTGCCTCGCGCTTCGGTAATCAGTGGCACACTCCCACCTGCTGCTTTCTACGGTCTCAGGAGTGACATTTTAACAATTAGTTTAAAATAACTTTCAGACAGGGTCTTGCTGTGTTGCCCAGGCTGGAGTGTGGTGGCACCATCACAGCTCACTGCAGCCTCAACCCCCCAGGCTCAAATAATCCTCCCACCTCAGCCTCCCAAGTAGCTGGGATTATACACATGCACCACCACACCTGGCTAATTTTTAAATTTTTTGTAGAGATGGGGTCTCTGTCACCCAGGCTGATGTCCAGTGCCATGATCACAGCTCACTGCAGCCTCAACTTCCTGGGCTCAAGTGATCCTCCCACCTCAGCTTCCTGAGTAGCTAGGAGCACAGGCAGCCCCACCACACCCGGCCAATCAGGCATGAGTTGAGCCGGTCTGGGAAATCCTCCAGCCCCCAGTAGTGGGGCACGATGCTGCGTCCCTGCCCGGATCCCCCGATACCATCCTTATCCCCTGCAGGCCCCCACCAGCACCCCCAGGAGGCTCCTTTGAAATCTCAACCCACTGCACACGGAGTCCCACCGCCCACAGCAGGCCAGACCAGGCCTCACCAGGATGCGCTTCTTGACGTCCTCCATGCCGTAGTGGTCTTCCTCCAGCACTGCCTGGGCCCGGGCCAGGTCCAGGTTCTCGTCGCTGTACTTGCCCCAAGGGATGGATGTGAGCCAATCTAAGTAGTTTCGGGTGACGCTGCCACAGGACAGACGAGAGATGCTGAGCGGCGCTCAGGAGCCGCCCGCACCTCTGCTGTACTTGGCCAGGGCTTGAGACCACATGTGGGGCTGAGCACGGTGGCTCTCGCCTGTAATCGCAGCTCTTTGTGAGGCCCAGGCAGAAGGATCGCTTGAGCCCGAGCTCAAGACCAGCCTGGGCAACTTGGCGAGACCCCCATCTCTATAAAACAATGCAAAAATTGCCCTGTCTAAAGCACCTGGTGCATCGAGGGGACGGCTGGAGGGCTGCTGCTGCCCCGTCAGGAGAGCTGAGACAGCACTAGCTTCTGCCTGGGGCTGAGCAGGACCACAGAGGGGAGGCGGCCTGACCCAGGGCAGGTGGGGAAATGGAGGCCAGGTCCCCTGCCAGGAGAGTGAGGCTGCAGGAGGGGAGGGAGGGCAACTCCATACTGGCCCCTGAGCTGGGAGCCGAGCAGCTGTGAGCAGCAGCCACCGTGGGCCAGGAACAAGTCAGCGAGGGCCGCGGGGGCACGGGGCGGGACTGGGGAGGAGGAGGACGGCTTCCGAGGAAGGCCAGGTGGGCCCATGAGCAGGCACTGCCAGGGCGTACTGCCACCAGGCTGGCATACGAGACGCACCAGGGACAGGCCACCTGGGCCACACGGATGCTGGAGGTGACTTTTGGGACACACAGAGTCCCTGTGGAAGCGATGCAGGTACGCGTCGACACTTTGCAGAGAACGTTCTGGATGGGGGAGGCAGCTGGCAGCCCGCTGCAGGCATCTTGGTGAGATGCGGACACTAAGGGCCTGTCCCCTGTGGCTCCCCAGGACCCGAAGACAGAGCCCACCTTAGACTCGCTCAGTTCCTGGGGGAGGGAGCTATTTCCTTCTGCAGGACAAGGTCTGGCCTGAGCAGGTATTTCCACCAACCCTGAGGGGGACTGAGTTGTTCAATGGGAGACATAAGGACCCCAAAACGTTGACCACCTCCTCCACATGAGGCAGCAGCACATGTCCCTCACACAGCAGATGGGAACTGCAGATAGAACTCAGTGAAGGTCCCTGAGATGGGAGTATCCTGGGTGACCCAGAGGGCCCGGGTCCTCAAGAGAGGAGGCGGGAGGTCAGACAGACTGGAAGAGATTGTGCTGTGGCTGTGGAGGAGAAGGAAGGGGCCCCGAGCCAAGGGATGCAGGTGCTTCCAGAGGCTGGGAAAGGCAGGAAACAGACTACCCCCAGAGCCTCTGGGCGGGATGCACTGGCCCACAGCTGGATCTCAGGGCTCCACCTTGTGTAAGGCGCTAAGCTATGGCCCTGTCTGAGCAGCAGCGGGAGCTCACAGGCCGCACACAGAAGGCGGGGTGTCCTGGGAGAGGAGCCACAGCCTTTACGTGCAACCAGCACCTCGAGGGGCCCTTGGGAAAGAGACTCCGGCAACCCCCCGACATTTGAATCCAACTTGGGGTCCTGGCCCAGCAGCCAGGAGGAAAACTCATGCCTTCCCTGTAAGCACTGTCCTAGCCTGCCCTGGGGATGTCTCCTGCCTAGAGGCTGCCCTAGTGTGGCACCTGGTCCTGGGCTGAAGCTGTTGTGGGAAGCGGCCGGGGGGTTCTGGCCTGGCTGGACGAGGGTACAGTTGAAACGACCTCAGAGGTACCCGAGCCCCTGGAACCTGGGCAGCCACCATGACTCACAGCATGTCTGAGACGGTGGCCCCCGGGAAGGCCAGCGCCCCGGGATGGCATGGTCACTTCCTGGCTGACTCTCAAAGGGGAGCTGAAGCAAGAGGTAGCCTTGGAAAGACAGCCATGGGGACTCCTGGTCCTGCTGAGAAGCCCTGGCTCAGGCTCGGTGCAGTGGCTCACGCCTGTAATCCCAGCACATTGGGAGGCCAATGCAGGCACATCACTTGAGGTCAGGACTTTGAGACCAGCCCGGCCAACATGGTGAAACTCTGTCTCTACTAAAAATACAAAAATTAGCCAGGACTGGTGGTGCGTGCCTGTAATCCCAGCTACTCAAGCGGCTGACGCAGGACAATTGCTTGAACCTGGGAAGTGGTGTGTGCCTGTAGTCCCAGCTACTCAAGCGGCTGACGCAGGACAATTGCTTGAACCTGGGAAGTGGTGCGTGCCTGTAATCCCAGCTACTCAAGCGGCTGACGCAGGACAATTGCTTGAACCTGGGAAGTGGTGCGTGCCTGTAATCCCAGCTACTCAAGCGGCTGAGGCAGGAGAATTGCCTGAACCTGGGAGGTGGAGGTTGCAGTGAGCCGAGACTGCGCCACTGCACTCCAGCCCGGACTGAGCAAGACTCTGTCTCAAAAAAACAAAAAAACAAAACAAACAAAAAGGCAGGACTAGCTTAGAGCCGGAAGTCCCTGGGTTCAAATTCCTGGCACCGCCTAGCAGCTCGGAGGCCCTGGACACCAAATCAATAGCCCTGAGCCTGGATTTCCTTGTATAATGGAGGTGGCAATGACGTGTCCTGCCTAGGGCCAGGACTGACGCTCCCCAGTTGCCTCCTGGCCCACCACCAAGCACCTGCCATACAGAGGTGCCACAGGGCTCTCCCGCCGGGTCCCCTGGCCTGCTCAAGATGGGGGCTGAGGAGGGGTCGCCCTCAGGGCGGGGCTGCCCGGGCCTGGCACTCACTTGAACTCCGAGGAGTGGTTGTCCAGCAGGCCCAGCTTGCTGAGCTCCTCATCCACCACGTCCATCACGTGCTTGGGGACAACAAGCTCCTTCAGCCGCTCCCGGAACTTCTCCTCGATGGCGTCCTTGTCGTCCTTCTCCAGGCCCAGCTCCTTCTTGATGATCTTCAGCTGCTCCTGCAGCAGGTACTTCCGGTGGGTCTGCTTGATCTTCTCCTCCACCTGTGGGCCGAGGCGCTGCCGTCAGGGCTGGACCCGGGAAGGTGAGGGTGTGCATCCCCGGAGGAGTGCGGACCCTCTGCTCCCCCAGGACTCAGAGAAAAGAAACGAAACCCACGGCACAAAGCCTTTGGTTCCATTTTTTTTTTTTTTGAGATAGGATTCCTCTGTTGCCCAAGCTGGAGTGCAATGCTGCCATCATAGCGTCAACCTCCCGAGTAACTGGGACCACAGGCACCGGCCACCACACCTGGCTCTAATTTTAAACCTTTTTGTAGAGATGGGGCCGGGCGTGGTGGCTCACTTGAGTCCAGGAGTTCCAGACCAGCTTGGCCAACATGGTAAAACCCTGTCTCTACTAAAAACACAAAAATCAGCTGGGTGTGGTGGTCACTTGCCTATAATCCCAGCTACCCAGGAGGCTGAGGCGGGAGGATCGCCTGTACCCGAGGTGGAGGCTGTAGTGAGCCGAGATCGCGCCACCGCACTCCAGCCTGGACGGCAGACAGAGACCCTGTCTCAAAGTCAAAAATTCCAAGAAATGCCACGACCGTGAAGTGGCTGAGCGTTAGGCAGACTGGTCTGCTGAAGTCAGGACGGGGAGCCTCAATGGCTGGGTCTTAACAAACAGCATCTTCACTTTTCCCAGGCCGGTTCCCAATTTCCAACACTGTCCCCTAGATCACCAAGGCAGAGGAACTCCTCCCTCGATGGAGGGTGGTCCTGACACTGCCCCACCCTGGGCTCGTCACACTGGGATCAGCTTTAAGCTCCTCCGTTCAACGTGGAGAGTTTCACGGCTCAGAATGACAGCGGCTGATGGCACGAAGCCCTCAAAACGCAGACAGGCCTTCTCGGCTGGCCCTGGCCGATGCCACCTGTCCCTCCATGCGCTCCAGAGCCTGCCTGATGCCATGTGGCCTGGGAAGGCCCCTAAGAGTGGCTGTGTCCCGGCCCGGGGCTCACCTCCCGCCCCAGGCGCTGCTGCAGCTTGCTCAGTTCAAATTCCTTCTTCAGCAGGGACAGGGCCTTGTACAGCCGCTTGGGAATCTGCCGAAAAGGAGGACCAAAAGGATGAGCAGAGGGTGGTGCCCGTGCATGCAGGGCCGGGTGGGGAGAAGGTGCGTCCCAAGATGCTGCCGGTGCGCCGCACTGACAAATCCCGTGCTGGAAACGCACCCTACGGACACCTGCGCAAGCCCTCGAGCTGCATGCATGGGGACGCTCTCAGGAGTGCCGCCCACAACAGCAAGACTGGCGACCCCCCGAGTACTCGGCCCTGAGGACCCCCCCGAACGTGCGGCAGTGACTCCCGACCGAAGGCTCTGAAGCTGCCAAAAGGCAATAGCCTGACGGATGTGGACCAAGGCATGCCACTGACCGGAAACCATCTCAGAAACAGCCAGGGACACGCCACGGGGGTGAATGGCGCACAGTGGAGGGGTGAGGGCAGCCAGGCATGGGGGGGGGCAAGGAGGAGCGGGGGCCACCCGGCATGGGCAGGGCCCAGTGGAGGTGGGGGCAGCCAGGTGCGGATGGGGCACAGTGGAGGGGTGGAGCAGCCGGGCACGGCCAGGGCACAGCGGAGGTGGGGGGCACTCACGTTGGTCTCCTCCAGGACGTCCTGCAGCTCGTGGGACTCAGCCCCGGTGAGCGCGGCACCCATGTCACTCAGGTAGATGGGGTTGTCCACCACCCGCTGGCCGGCCTGCATCATCTGCAGCACCGACTCCCTGGGGGACAGAGGGAGCTGCCTCGGTGGCCAGGGCCTTGCACTCTGCTGCACTCAACCCCCGACCAGGACCCGGTCCTCACGGTCCTTGTCCCCCACAGCTGTGGGCAGGGCCTAGGGGTGCTTGCTGGGAGCTAGGTCTGCTGCTTGGTCCCCAGAGTTCAGGGTCCACCCATCCCGGGCTGGAAATGCAAGTGGCATCCCCACAGGAGCCATGCAGTGACCTCACCTCAGCAGTCTGCTCCCCCCTCCCCCAGCTGATGCCAGCCACAGCTTCTGGCCTCAGCAGAAGGGGACGAGGAACCTGGTCTGCTGAGTCGTCCCCAGGCCTCCCACCTGCCCCTCGCCCCAGGGGAAACAGGCTCCTCCATTGCCACCACTCCTTGGGCCATGAATCCCTGCCCCATGCAAGCTTTCCTCCCAGGAAGACGCTGAGGAAGCCCCCTGCCCCCAGCTGCAGAAAGAGCAGCAGAGATGCCCCCGCCTGGCCAGCCGCCTGCATGGAAGCCCACCTGTAGAGAGGGTTCAAGGCGATGATGTCCCGGATGGTCTTCACGATCTCTGCAGTCAGGGCCTGCCAAGTAGGGGGGCAGGGTCACTGGGGCCCAAGAGTGCCCTAGCAGGAGGTGGGGTGGGTGGGAGGCGTGGTCCTGGGAGCCCTGCCTGCCTGCTGCTCCAGCACTCCCCACCCACCCGGCCCGGTCACAGATGGCCTCGGACACCGAGGAGTGCAGCCCAAACTCACCAGTCCCAGGGACACAGGACCAAGAGAGTAAAAACTAAAACCAAACCCTGTCTCCTTACCCCTCAGAGCCTTGTCCTTAGGACAAGTTGTCTTGGAGGAAGAAAACACACTGTTTTCTTTCCTTTGGTATTTTTTAAGATCGAGTCCTGCTCAGTCACCCAGGCCGGAAAGCAGTGATGCGCTTGTGACTTCATGCAGCCTTGAGTTCTTGGGCTCCAGCGATCCTCCCCCGCTATTTTCTGGAGCAGCTGGGACCACAGGCATGAACAACAACGCCTGCCTACGACCAAGTTTTAATCACGTGGTCTCCGCTGGGCGAGGTGGCTCACACCTGTAACACCAGCACTTTAGGAGGCCGAAGTGGGAGGATCACTTGAGGCCAGGAGGTTGAGACCAGCCTGGCCAACATGGTGAAACCCCGTCTCTGCTAAAAACACAGAAAAAAATTAGCTGGGCACGGTGATGGGTGCCTGTAACCCCAGCTACTGAGGAGGCTGAGGCGGAAGAATGGTTTGAACCCGGGAGGCAGAGGTTGCAGTGAGCCGAGATCATGTCACTGCGTCCCAGCCTGAGTGACAGGGCAAGACTCTGTCTCCAATAAAAAACAAAACGCCATCACCTGGTCTCTAGTCTTTGGTTTTGACCCTGAACTGTCTGAGCTGACCCTGGTAGAAGGCACCAGGGCAGGCCTGCTGGAGGTCCCGGGCACTTGCTTTAAGAACAAGCTTGCTGTACCTCAGGGGTCTTGCTAATTCCAATTGCATGTGTAAGCTAAGTCACAGTCTTCCCCCGCTGATTCTCACAGGGAACTCCAGTGCTGTGCTGTCTGGGACAGTGTAGCCACCGTGGCTGGCCGAATTTCTTAATTCTAATTTTTAGGCAGACGGTCTCACTCTGTTGCCCAGGCTGGAGTGCAGTGATTCCATCATAGCCCACTGCAGCCTCAACCTCCTGAGCTCAAGCGATCCTCACACAGGCTGGACCACAGGTGTGTGCCAACACGCTCAGCTAATTTTATTTTTTTTTCGTAGACACAGGAGTTTCAATATTGCCCTGACTGGTTTTGAACTCCTGGGCTCAAATGATCCTCCTTTCCAGGCCTCCGAAAGTGCTGGGATGACAGGCATGAGCCACTGCACCCAGCCACTGAAATGTTCCATTCTGTTCCTTGGTCACAGCAGCTGTATGTGCTCAATACTGGCAGGTGGCTAGGCGCAGTGGCTCACATCTGTAATCTCAGCATTTCGGGAGGCTGAGGTGGGCAGATCACCTGAGGTCAGGAGTTTGCGACTAGCCTGGCCAACATGGTGAAATCTCATGTCTACTAAAAATACAAAAATTAGCTGAGCACAGTGGCATATGCCTGTAATCCCAGCTACCTGGGAGGCTGAGGCACGAGAATCACTTGAACCTGGGAGATGGAGGCTGCCATGAGCCGAGATCGCGTCACTGCACTCCATCCTGGGTGACAGAGCCAGACTCTGTCTTAAAAACAAAACAAAAAAAAAGAAAAAAAAAACCAACAAAAGAAATTTCACAGGGGCCAGTGGGGCAAGATAACAGTGCTGACCTCAAGAAGCCACATGGGCCTGCGGACAGGACTGTTCACCCCTCCCAGTGCCCATGGCAGACATCACCAGTTGCTCACAGAACTTTCTCCCCAGGCTCTGCAGCAGCCTGGGGAGGAGGCCGATGATGCCAGGCACACAGGTAAGGAGCTGACATGCTTCAGGGCTTTGGTTGGCTGTGCTGATCACCCCTACGGCAGGAGGGCAGGTGGCACCGCCAGGAGCCTGCCCATCTCGGAAGCTGACTCCTTGTGCCATCAGGCAGACAGGATGGCCTAGGCTGGGGATCGGGGTAGCCAAAATCTGTTTCCTATCCCGCAGCCACAGGTCCCAGCTTCCCCTCCCGGACCTCCCGGGCCTGATGGGACGGAGCCGGGGCTGGAAGGTGTTTTGGTAACTGCTGTAGGCACAGGGGACACGGGCTGAGTTCCAACCCTGCCTCCTTCCTGAGCAGTTACAGGCCCCAGTGAATTTCCTGTGCCTCTCCCATCCTAGTGTCTTCCAAACACCTCTGGGAGGAAAAGCACCCTCTCTGTTCCATTAGAATTGAGTTCCAGACAGGCCAGACCCTTCCTGAGGGGCTGCAGGTGGGAGACGACTCTTCCCGGAGAGGCCTCGGTAACAGCTCAAGGGAGCCGCCCCACATGACGCCTGGACTCACCTTCACCTCCTCCGTGACCTGGAAGTCCTCGTGAACGACGTTCTCCACCTCGACCATGAGCACCTCGCCCGGGAGCTCGGTGGCGGGCTCCATCGCCAGCTCGGCCGGGTGCCTGGTGCCCAGCTCATCCTCCGCCTCCTTCCTGCCCCGCTTCGACTTCCTGCGGGGCTTGTGCTTGTTCTCCGCCTCTGGCTCCTCGGGCTCCACCTCCAGCTGTCTGCTGATATGAACCCTGACGTGGGAGCAAGGCCAGCATGAAGCCGCTGAGGCTGGGAGCCGCCCTGGCCATGGCCAAGGCCTCCCTGGCAGCACAGGTGGTCCAATGGTCCCGCTGAGCCCAGGCCCCCGGAGCCACAGGGTGGCCACAGGGTCCCCAGGCTGAAGACTGAGCCGCTTTCTCGGGGCCTCCCAAACAGTGTCCTCTCCGCCTCTTAGGCTCCAGCCAGATTCAGGCATTCGCTTCGTCCCACACCAATGCCTCTCTTCCCCATCCTAAGTATTGTGGACATGCTGCAGTGACAAGCCCCGGGGCCTCCTGTCCCAAACGGTGGCGGCCTGGCCAAGCACAGGCTGGGCTCTGAGATCTGCCTGCCCTGCTCTGCACCCTGCACCCACCTCACCGTGGCTCCTTCCTGTCGTTCAGGTCTCAATTTGAAGGACACCATTGCAAAGACTGTTCCCAAGCACTGCACGGAGATGCCCACCCACCTCCGCCTCTCATGCTGTCTGCCTCTCTCCCCAGAGCACCCGGCACCACCTGAACTTAGGGTCTGGCTCTGTTGCCCAGGCTACAGTGCAGTGGTGTGATCATAGCTCACTGCAGCCTCGACCTCCTGGGCTCAAGCAATCCTCCTGCCCCAGCCTCCTAAGTCGCTGGGACTATAGGCACATGCCATCACGCCTAATTTATTATTATTATTATTTTTTGCAGAAACAGGGTCTTGCTGTGTTGCCCAGGCTGGTCTCAAAGTCCTGGACTCAAGCAATCCTCCCACCTCGGCCTTCTGGGTAGCTGGAGCCACAGGCATGAGCCACCACATCCAGCGAATTTTTCTATTTTTTTTTT